ATTTTAGAGTTAATGGAACAGATGTGTGATTTATTTTTCAGAAGGGGCAGTAGAGAATATAATTCTGATGTAGAAACTGTTCTTTTCAGTTAGACAGCTGCATGAAAGATACCACCTAAAGATGAAATAAGAAGAAGAACAGTGAAGTTACACTGGAATGTAACAGGGGAAAAAAGAACAATTAACAGTAATTATACAGGAAATTGTCCCTTTCATTCTTTTTTTCTTAAGAAACATTCTTCAGTGTCCTGGTGATTTAAAAATGTATATATTTTTTTGAGTTTAATGCCAGGAGCATTTAAGTTTGGTCCCCAACTGAAAAAAAGTTCCTGGGGACAAGGACATCCTTCAAGGTATTCATTTGATAAAAAAAAGTAAGCAAATCGAAATAATAAAACAAAACACTGAAGAGAAAGGTAAGGTTTGGAAGATATGTGTTTGTCACACAAATAAAACATGTGATAAACATGAAAAAGGTCACCTAAATTCTTATTTAGAGGACATAACCTGCCCTGGCATGAAAATGTTTAATTTAAAACAGTAGCTGAGGATTCATCCTTCCAGCTGCTTTCAAATCAGATAACAGGAGTTTCATTTCTTCATATATGCATGTACACACAGACACACACACACACACATAATATACATACATACATACATACATACATACATACATTTTACATTTATTGAATACATACATTTATTTTACATTGTGGGGACCATTTTTCAGGTCCCCACAAAGATCTGTGAATGCAATCAAGTAAAACAGTAAAAAATGCCAAAAGTGTCGTATTTTGTTTGATTACTTATGGTTAAGGTTAGGGCTGGGTAAGGGTTAGGGTCATCATGTTGGGATTAGAGTTTTCTATAGCAATGAATGGAGAGTCCCTACAGAGGTATAATTACAACCCTGTGTGTGTGTGCGTGTGTGTGTGTGTTTTAGCTGAATTCTCCTCCAAAGCTGTCATTTGTTCTTGCTATGTGTCACGTGTATTTCCTTAAACATATCATAAAGCAAAAATGGGTTGAAACCATATTGAACTAAATGCTAAGTAAGACTGAATTTATGGATGAAGAAAACCTACTACAATTTAATGTTTAAATCAGTCTGACAATCAATGTATCACTATATCAATGTATCTGATAATCAGTTTATCACATCACTCTGATTATCAATTTCGGGTGTTTGAAAACATGCTTTATATCCTAAAAAGAGACACACTAAAGAAAGCTGATTGAATCCATTCCATAGTTACCAGCAACATTTATAGCGGAGTTTTATAATGCTACATTATCTTTAAATCAGTATTTTGCAATATGCTAGCTTTGTCATTATTTTTAAAAGAAGCAATTCTTTAGAGTAACAGTTTAACATTTTTGTTTATATGCAATTCTGTGTCCTTTATAACATTTTTCTTCCTCGGGAGTTTGCAATTTTTTATGGATGTGTTTTGTCAAATCACTACTCCAATCCAGTGAAAACTGGTGAAGGTGATCCAAGAAAATTGTTTCAATAGGAAATCAACATACAAATAATATAGCATAAACAAAATCTAGAGACAATGCTTAGGTTCAGTTGTTCACTGACTGAGACTAAAAGCAGATATACAGATGCAAAATAACCATATATATATCCCTACCTAGACATAAAAACTGGTTCCAAGTCCCATTGATCCCCACTGTATATAATTCTGCAAAGCCTGCAGTGTGCATTGTGTTCCGACTTTTCAAAACTGGCACAGTATTGTCCTTAATACCTAATTATTATTATTATTTCACTGCTACGCTGACACTTTTTTTCCCCAAAGTGATTTACCATTTACCCATTTATACAGCTGGATATTTTTAATGTAGCAATTTAAATTATGTACCTTGCTCAAGGGTACAACAGCATAGCCACGCAACATTTCGGGTTAGAAATCCATGCCCTTAACCACTGAGTTACCTCCTGACCTACATCTTTTATTCTGTCTACAGCATAAACGGTCTATAAGCACAATCCACATTTAATTGTGGTAAAAGATGGCTATGTGCATGTCTAAAGTATTGGGATTTTTTTATCATCTTCTAAATGGTTTGTGGAGAACAATAGAAATCTGAGCAAGGTTGATTTTAACAATGATTACATTATTTCAATGCATGCAGTTAAATAACCACAAAAGATTTCATATCCTGAGTTGTGCTCTCTCTTCATTTTTGGTGTTCTATTATAATAATTTAAAATTAGTTATAGTAAGATTATACAGGCATTAATATATAATATATCTCTATAGTATGCAGCGATGGTACCGTACCAAAGGCTAAAGAATAAAAGGTACATGGAATAGAAAATGTGCCTGACAACTTAACATCCTGAATCAACATTAGGAACAACTAAGTTTTGGTAGATCATCAAAAAGTTATTCATCATTTCATGCAGGAAATCCTCCTACACAAACACAGCCCTGACATTTTATAAACAGCCTAAAAATCCCAGGGCCAATCCAATTCATACCCTATTAGTGATGGGTCACTCCTTCTTTTGCGAGCAGCTGAAGTGGCACAGTCTTACAGCCGTCATCCTCTGCCATGCAAGCCAGTGCGCGCTGGCTTTAGACTTTCCTAGCTGACCACAGCAAATACAGCCAGTCGCCACAGTCGCTCAGATGTTCCCATCAGATACACCCTTTACCATGTCATTGTTGTTGTTATTATTATTAGTAGTAGTAATAGTAGCATCAGTAGTAGTAGTATTAGTATTATTAGTATTAGTATTAATAGTGGTAGTAGTAGTATACTCAACTAATACTTAAGTAATGTTTCAATCAATACTTAAACTTTTATGCTTAAGTAAATAAATGAACAAGATAATTTATTTCTTTTTTGTTTGTTTGTTTTTAATTTTTATTTTGCACAAATTAGATTATGGTGTCACACCCAAGACACCCCTTCCTGCGGTGTGAACCATAAATGCATATTTTCAGAGCTTGTTTTACGCTTATCGTGGCACATTTCTGCAGGTACCTGCAGTTTGCATGCTTGGATTAATCAAACTTTATGCATAAGTTACCGAATTTGACTAAATTGGTTTTATGAGGGTAAGGGGGAGGGGGGTTATTCTGATTACCAAAATAATTTGAACTTGCAGTGAACTTCCTTCGAGAAATACAACTGCATTACATTACGCCGTACAATTATTCACTTCATCGCCAGATGAGCAGTATATTGTACTCTCCCTCATATTTTAGCACATTAACTTTGCGTCATCCTCTGGAGAGCAGATGAAGTTTAAATCCAACGGCTGTCTTTAGAATTGAGGTTTGCTGGCCTCCTTTTTAAAATATAAGTACATATACTGTAAATCAACAGAGCTCTGTGTAGCCAGTATGAACATTTTTCCTAAACTGTATCCACATCTCATCATCACGTTTGCGCTGTTTTATTGGAGTCTTTTCGGCAGGTTTACAAGTGCAGGCATTACATAAACAAATCCTCATGGATGTGTGTGTGTGTGGGGGGGGGGGGGGGCACAGCAAGCCACAGCAGAAACACAGCCTGGAGCGTTAGAAGGAACAGTGTAACTTTAAGGATCTGACCCACCTCTGCCATGGTGGCACTTATGAGATTAAATTGGAATTAGCCATGCTACGTTTACACAGGCCTCTCTCTGCACGCACAGACGTCAAACAAGGGCAGTCATCCACACTTATCATCATTATCATTATCACCCCACAGACTGAATCATGTGTACAACAGGACCATGCTACTGGATGAGAATATGCTACAGACATTGGTCTTTATCCAACCCTTTATATTCTACTCTCTCTCTCTCTCTCTCTCTCTCGACTACCTGTTCATACCCTCTGTCCTCTCTCACGTTCCCCCTGTTGCCTGGAAACAGTCTGCTGAGCTACAGGTGGTGAAAGTGAGCTCTCATGTCAACCACCTGTAATCACCTGCACTGGAATGACCTCATGTCGTATCCCTTCTGACCTCTGACCTCACTGAGAAGTGCTGGTTTTGGTATCAGATGCACAGGTAGCACTTGGAGTGTGACTCAGTGCTATAAGCGCCACATTTGCCCTGATTCAGGAAACCACACATTTCATTCCTTTCTTTGTGCAAAGGAGAATGATTCTACACTCCTTAGCTATGGAAAAAAGTGCATGATTAGGAGCTAAGCATTTATGATGTTTTTCCCCCATGAAACAGGCCAGGGGAAAAAAATAAAACTAGAAAAAAATAACATTATTAGAATTTGATATGTTGTTTGGAGATTGGAATGAAAAAGTTGCATTTTCAATAAGGGTTTCCAGAACACAGGACTTAATTAATTGACTAGGCAAACTGTACTGAACGAGGCCTAACAGAAGATCTTTTAAAAATGGTCTGTTTGAAAGTATTGACTACACACTCTTACAGGGGGCTGTTTCAAAATATGTTCTATTCTCTCTCTCAGATTACAGAGTATACATGCAACTGACCTGCTATTATTTTTCAACTAGGTACATTAAAGACTATTCATTCACTTTCTTTTCATTCAACAGCTAATGTTTGACAGGTTGATTGAACCGGATCGCACTAGTGAACTAGCATAAAAACGGAGGACTGAAAAATAATTAGAATTACAATTACACATGATAGCCATTCTCTGTCTCGAATATACACAACCAAAGATCAGACTGTTTTCTGAGTAAGTACACCGACCTACCCTCTAATGGCTGTGCTCACACTGAAATGAGTCGTGTGCAATACGAAATCAGTCACACGTCTAAACTAAGATCAATCGTGTGTAGATTATGCATGATTAGAGTGCAAAGCTGTTGGAACAGGTCAGATGCAAAGAGCAAAAAAGAAATAATTGTAATAATGAAAGAAATAACAAGTGCAGAAATAACAAGTGCCCTTCTCGCTTATATTCTCCCTGTTGAATACATAAGATTCCGTATGCTGTTTTAGGCTGTTAGAGCTGAAGATAATAAACAAACTGTGAGATCTTATTACGGGCAACAAACACTTACCATATGTTTGGACAGTTTTGATTTGGCCAGATAAGATGTTCTTGAGCAGGCTTTTCCCACCTGTTGCCTGTCAACACATTACAGACATGAGGTGTATAAAACTCAGTAAAGACAGTTTCCTGAAAGGAATGAAGTTTCACTGCTCAACAGCAAATGACATAAACATTCATATCTGCATCATCATAAATAAAACTATACCAATTGTAGACAATGTGAATTATTGTTATTATTATTATTTATTATTATTATTATTACTTCAAAAATCTAAGCAGTTAATTCCTTTCCATAAAATGTATAAATGACATTGTTAACTTTTTTTCCTTTTTAAAGATTTGCAATTATTTGAGTAAACAAAAATACTTTACACTGTGATACAAAGATTCAAAAACTCTTTTTTTTTTAAGTCTATGAAAAGTGAATTACATTCATTTCAGGCATACACCTAAGTGCACTGACCAAATTAATCTTAAATACAGCCATAACACTCATACTCTGATTGAATGCAAATCAGACAAGTAATAAAAAATAAAATAATAATAATAATCTAAAAGAGCATATTTCTTGTAGTGCAAATTAACAGTGTCACATTCAGAAACATTGTTTGTCAAGGATCCGGGCGGCTCGGGCACGGGAACGAGTAGCCACAGCAGGGGCTGACCCTGACATTGTTAGAGTCCACATATTTTTTATTATTAGTGTTGTTGTTGTTCCTATAGGAAGAACTCACTCTCATACACACACACACACACTAACACACAAACACATACATACATATACGAGTGGAAGATACTTTTCTTTTGGTGGACCTCAACAGGATGTTGGTACATTCTAATAAAGACACTATAATGGCACACTATTATTAGATCACATTAATCATTATGGTGCCAAAGGCAGTGACAGCAATGCCAAGAAGGATTGAGAAAGCTAGTAATGGGTATAAATGAGCCATCATGTGACAAAGGGTTTTTCTCCTGAGAAAGTACAGTAGGAGCAAAACCAATATAAACCAGTTATCAATGAAATCTGAGTAACTGTACATTACATTCCAATACAAGGATCACACAAAAGGAAGACCCTACAAGTACAGAGACCTGGGCTGGTGTGCAGCAGGTGTATCAGACACATCTCTGTTATTCTGAACAGTGATAAACAGCAATATATCTCTCATCTACCGAAATATGGCGCTGGAGTTCAAGCAATGACCCAAACAACTAAAAAGCAAGTAATTAGAAATCACACTCAAGGAGTTTGGGTAAAATTAGACAAGATTCACCTATAAAAGATAGAGAGTAAAAAAAAAAACACTCTATCTAAAGTTATATCATCACCCTCTGCTCAGTAGAATGTCACTCATACTATTCACTCTTCGTAGAGTGAATCGCAGGACCCCAAAAACCTAACAGCTCCTTCACAGACAACAGTTCTAATTTCACAGGAATATATAAGGGTCCCTTTAGTATGGTTCTTTATTGTTTTATTATAATAATAATAATAATAATAATGACAACAACAATAATTTTCTGCCTTTGTTTTCACTACACAGTAAATTTGGCAGTATTTTTGAATATGCCTTTTTTTAACAATTCATTGTTAATTGTTCTGTTATTTTAGTTTGCACGTCTTTTGCCCCTGTTTCCGCCGGATCAGTATTTCATTAATTAAGAATATCAGACCTGACCTTTGCATTAATTACCTCTAGCTGCCCGAAAGCAGCTTTGTACTGTCACCTGACGGTGCTACACACGTCCAGCTTTCCATTTCCAGATACGTTCAGAAGGTGTTAGAAGAGAGAGTGAAAAGTATAGCGGATAAAAAACAACATGTCCTTTAAAATGTCAAGTGGTGATTTACTCAAATTTAACAGCACAAAAAAGTTATGAAACATAATTGAAAGTCAAATTAGAGTGAGAGGAAACCTTCCTTTCCAAATTTAGATGATGTATAAAAGCCACAAGTGTATCTTCTGAGTGAAGTGTCACAGAATAAATCCTAATGAAACATTAGGTTCTAAGTTCATCTGGCACTATGAAAAAGGAGAGAAATGATTACAGTATTTTAATAGATTCTTTCTATTAAAAGACCATTTTTAGATTTTCCAAAAAGGACACGTTTTATAACAACTCGACACCTTGTTGACGTGACTGCTGATGTGTGAAACGCTCATTCATTTTGAAAAGCGGATAAAACTTTGTGACCATATAAGGCTTGACCCCACTGTCAGACAATAATGGCCTTGTTGTTAAATTGGCACAGCCTTTCAGCGGCAGATCCTTCAATAGCAGGGCTCAACAACGGGGCGTTTTTCTCATGATCAGAAATAAAATGACTAGTGTCATTAGTCTGGATCAGAATCAGATATTATGTGTACTATTGTTTTTTTTGTTTTTTTTTCCCAACATCACAATGGAAATTTAATGGATTTCCATTTTTCAGTATGTTACACAAAGGTAAGCTTACATTTATAAGACCTCACGTGAAGGTCAAGATCCACTTGCAAATTCCATGCTGAAGATAAAAGGGCATTTCTCTGCAGTGTACCTGTTTGGAGGCTCGTGTTCTCGCGGTTGTCAAAGGGACAAAGTATCATACATTCTTTTAATCTGAAAGTTTACCTTAATCTAGGAAACAATGAGTAAATAGTGTAAATAATGTGCATTACAAACTGCTGCAAAAGCACAAATAGTTTGTGCTTGAATCATAAGATCTGTAGGTCTATTAAGCTGCAATTCTGCAAGACAAGAAGTTTGTGTTTGTGCAATGAAAATTATACGAGAGGAATACTCTTCTTGCCGTACCTATTATTATCACTATCATATAATTCATAAATTTTCTTCACTGGGCAGGTCCTAACTCAGGGAATGTGGGTACTTGACCTGTAATGGGAAACATTACCACCCCGGTTGCATGTTAACAAACAAGTCTCCGTTCACATTAACAGTGGTGAAAATTAAATTTGAGCTCTTTGTCTGTCAATGCCCTACCCCAACAACGGCCTTTTTCTTTCTTTTTTTTTTTTTAGAGCACAATGGAGTCATTAGGGCTCTCTCTTCATTACTTCAAAAAACAATCATTAGACACCAGAGTATATACGTAATTAGAAAATCACTTCCTTTGCAATCCTGGCTAAGTAGTTTACATACTGTAATTACAGGGACAAAATCAATTTTTAATCATTTCACTGATTGGGCTCATCAGCTCAGTAGGAACATTGTATCCTGCTTGTTGTGCAAAAGTAACATCTGGGCTAAAACAATTACCCTTTTGTGTTCCTATTCAAAAAAGCTTTCTGCAAAAACGACCGCCGCCATAAAATCAAATTGCAGCCATCGTTTTGCCCTTGAATAGCGTACAGTGGATCCATTTAAAAGCATTATGAATCGATACACTGCATTATACTATTTTCAAGAAGCTACATATTGCCCTTCGCCATTAAATGTGTTTATTAATGCTTTGGATCTGTCTGTTGTGTTTTTCCTCCTGTATTTTGTTTTATCATCTACAGTATGCTAACTTAACATTTATTTAAAAGTTTCCTTTCTTAGGAATACGAGTTAATAAAGCAATGGTATGCAATACTGTGTGACATTTTTACAAATATAATACAGTAATTCATTTCCATCATACTTTAATTTATTTCTTATTTAGTAAAGATCTGACCTCTACCTCTGCGAAGACCGCAAATTAATCAAAATTTGAAAAATTGATCGTGCGTGATGTATGCAAATTACAGTCGCTTCTGTTTCTGTGATCAATAAGGTTAATTAAAAATGTGTTTTATTGCACTTTTGCTGTTCTGACATGCTCTTCACGCTGCCACTGTGAATGAAAATGCATTAAAATGACAGTAAATTTTAAAATACAATTTTTCACAGGCCCAGGACGTGATGTAACAAGGCGACAGTACACAGGTAGACAATAAGCGGAATTTTTAAGTCAAATTTTAAAGCCAAAGCAAGATTTGAAAAATAAACAATGGAAGTTTATTATACTATTGTGAGTTCTTTCATTAATCAGTTTCAATAACTGGAGGTCTGTTTGGCCATTCAGGAGAACTGATTGAAAACAGTCCACTGAAGATCTCTACCAGAGACAAACGTGGTTAAAGTTTCAGTGATAGTGTACAGATTACTGAGGGACGCTTTTGGAAATTATTATTATTCCCAAAATGCTCTTTTGTGATTTGCTTTGAAGGGGGAAGTGCTTGAATGTGTGGGCTGCAGAGGGGTTTTTGCTCATTTAAAAAGCTTTCCAGTTACACAATTAGTAGGGAATGTAGGGCAGCTTCCTTCGTGTTCCAGTCAGTCCTGCCGTAAAGAAGAGGAGGCTTTTCTTCCTCTCTACTCATGTACAGCAACAACAAGAAAAAAAAAAGAAAACGTGCACAGGCTGCTGGCATTGACACTCACCCAGGCCGAACGCAACACGACGTGGGCGGGCGACGTCCAAGTACGCACTACAAAACAGCGAGCGTATTGGCGCCAGTCGTCTGAAAACAGTGATGGGTCTCAATGCAAGGCTCGGGGCCCTTCTCTTGGACCCTCCGTTCTTTGCCCACGACTTTGCATTTATCTGTGACTCGGCTGATTAGCTGGCTTTGGGGGCCCAAGTCCAAAAGGCCCAATTATGACTTTGATTGTGTTTTTGAGCTGAAGTGATTTTATATTGTTCGTCCTTCAGATTGTCCTCCTACGATGGGCTGGTGTTAAACGTAATAGTTTAATGTGAAAAAAAAGTCCAAGTGCCATCTGTTTGCCTGTGGATTTCCAGTAATCGCTCTTGACTGATTACACTGATGACTATATGAACCTCTTAAATAATTATCTGGCAATGAAAAAATTTTAAATAATTATCATTAACTCCATCGCAACTGCAGCTGTGCCATCTTGACTATAAACAGCAAATAGTGTTTATCCTTCTTCTCTTTAAAGATGCCTTTATTGGTTTTAAGTAATTTAATTCCAGGTATTCCATTAACCAAACATGTTACTGCAAATGTTTTTGTAAATCTGACGTCACGACCATAAAAAGAACATATCTACACACACAGGATAGAAAATGGGTAGTTGC